GACCACCGAGTGGTAAAACATCTGCAGCATGGTCCCGCAGAGACCACCGAGTGGTAAAACATCTGCAGCATGGTCCCGCAGAGACCACCGAGTGGTAAAACATCTGCAGCATGGTCCTGCAGAGACCACCGAGTGGTAAAACATCTGCAGCATGGTCCTGCAGAGACAACCGAGTGGTAAAACATCTGCAGCATGGTCCTGCAGAGACAACCGAGTGGTAAAACATCTGCAGCATGGTCCTGCAGATGTTAAAGGACCTGAGTCTCCTCAGAAGAAAAGGCGACTCTGCTCTTTCTTGTAGAGGGTACACCTAGCTAAAACAATGCAAAACTAGCTAAAACAATGCATACCTAGCTAAAAAAGGACACAACTAGCTAAAACAATGTAAATTAGCTAAAACAATACATATGTAGATGTGAAAGATCTTTTTTTGTAATACCACTATCTACCCTCATGTTTCTCCCCCTTTTCCATCCATCCATCCATTTTCTTTACCCGTTTATTCCATTTTGGGTCACGGGGGTCGCTGGTGCCCATGTCCAGCAATCACTGTGCGAGGGGCGGGGTACACCCTGGACGGGTCGCAAGTCCATCACAGGGCCACATAGAGACAAATGAGACAAACAACCATTCACTCTCTCACTCACACCTAGGGACAATTTAGAGTTACCAATCAGCCTAACATGCATGTTTTTGGACTGTGGGAGGAAACCGGAGTACCCGGAGAAAACCCACGCATGCACGGAGAGAACATGCAAACTCCACCCAGAAAGGCCCCTGGACCGGGGTTTGAACCAGGGACCTGCTCGCTGAGAGGCAGCAGCTCTACCAGTTGCGCCACCGTGCTGCCCCCCCCTTTTCCAATCTAAGATTATTATTCTGAAAAAGGATAAGAGAGACCGCGCTCAGAGCAGCAGCTTCGTGCACTCCGTCCATCTTCCGGATGACTGCATGTACATGTTCTCGTTGTATCTCGGTGCAATGATAATAAAGCTTATTCTGATTCTGATCTACATAAAACAAGGCACAACTAGCTACCACAAGTATCCTGATGCATGCTCAATAATCCAGGTAGAAAAATCTAAAAAAGTTAAATCTGGTCCTCTGGACCAGAGAGGACCTCTTTGTGAAAAGAAATTGTCCATCATTAAACAGGGGTGGAGGCCTACGTGTTCAACTGTCCCCCTCTTACAATGCTGTGATTGCTAGTATCACTCAGCCCTCTGTGAATAGTAAACAGCCATCAGTGTGCTAATGATCCATTGTTAGGCTGATGGTCCTTCTTGAGCATGTGATCAGCTGGTTTTGGTTGTCAGCAGCAAACTGGTTGATCCACTCTGAGAAGGTGCTATTTAAGAGACTGAGCTGAATACAGCGCCTCAGACTGAGGAAGTCTCTCGGATGAGAGACGAAACGTTTCTACATTTTTTTGTTGATTTGCTTTGTTTTGAATGTCCAGAGGACCAGATTTAACTTTTTTAGATAGCTACCACAAGAACTCACAGACCAAGAAAGCCAGCTTGCCATTTTTTACATCTTCTCGTGTGAACTTGATGTATTTGTCCACAGAGTTGGTGTAGTCAGTAAAATGTTGGACTTCTTGAAATTTAATTTTAACCCAGGTGTCGTCAACATACCTGAACCAATGACTTGGTGGTGTCCCTGAAAAGGACGTCAAGGCTCTCTTTTCTACCTCCTCCATGTACAGGTTGGCAACAATAGGAGAAACTGGAGACCCCATAGCACACCCATGTTTCTGCCTATAATATTGCTCCCCATATGTGAAGTAGGTTGACTG